TGCGGTTTTGCGGCTGTTAGTAGCAGTTGACTCAACGTGCTTGATTGATTTTGTGAACCATTGACATTGAAGCCTCATGTCAACTGGCTTGCCTGCTAATAAGAGCGTCGGACAGTGACAGTGGTTGATTCTCCTGCAAGTGAGACAGTGTGTGTGATTCAGAAGTTGAAGCCAGTGCGACAGTGTGTCAAATCGAACTTCCTCAGCCTGACTGGACTGACGCTCAGCCACGGGACTGGGGAGTTGAAATGACTGAGCCGGAGCTTCAGCAGGGGAATGACAATGACGACGTCGAGCAGTCAGATTTATCGGAGCTGGACTTGGAACTGGAACGTGAACCTTGCCCAGTCTGTCTTGCAGAATCTATTTTGACAGATGTCAGGACCGGTGACCGGCTCGGCGTGTCTGGTAGTGTGACTTTTATGCGGTTGGACTTGAAGCGTTTGTTCAGTTGCCGAGTGATCTGCAAGTCAATCGGGAACCTGTGACCTTTGTTACTGGCATGCGTGGCGCAGTGCTCATGATCATCAACGACAATCGCCAGACAATGCATTGCTCCCATTGCTCGAACTTTGATTCGACTTATGTGCAAGACAACCCCATTGCAACGATCTGTGATGACCGTGATCCGTGCCGCTGTCCTTGCCACAAGTTATTGAAAGCGCTTGACTTGACGCATGGCAGAGTATTTTTTGAGCTGGCTCGCCAGCGACCTTAAGAATGAATAATGATGATGGACAATGGAATGGTCCAACGTTGCTGGCGCTAACGTGCGCTCATGATGACTTGCGACTCACTGATGCGACAATAAAAAGAATCATTATTATAAAATTGAGTGACACACACTTAATGCATTTTGTATGTTCTTGCATGTGTTTGTCCTTGTTTGCCTTTGTGTCATGTATGTTTGCATTGTTTTTGCACTCTTTTTGCATTTTTTGTATTTTGTTGCATTTTTTGTATTTTGTTGCAGTTTTTTGTATTTTGTTGCAGTTTTTTGCATTTTGTTGCATTGTTTGTTTTTTTGGTATTTTTTGCACTTTTTTGCATTTTTTTTGCATTTTTTTGCACTTTTTTGCATGTTTTTGGACTTTTTGCATGTTTTTGCATTTTTGCATCTTTTTGCGCATTAGATGCAAAAATAAGATAATTTGAGATAATTTGAGATAATTTGAGATAACTTGAGGTAAGGTCTAAACCCCATGGATCTGGGACCCTTGATATAATCAGTGAGACATCCAGCGCATCCGCGTGCAAGACATCAGCCTCACTCAGCATGCCTTGCGCGGTTCATGCTGGGCAACCAAAACAACCAAAAGCGGGGAGCCCTGGGCCTGCACAATCTTCGGGTGAACCGGTCGGGACTTGGGTTCTTTTCTGGCTTCGCAGTTTGAGCATTTCGGTCACTCATAGTGCAACCAGTGGACCTGCCGTCGCCCGACTTTGTGCTGCCTGCTTTGGCATCCATCGCTAAGGACGCACCTGCAAGTTTCCAAAGCCCCATGGCACACACACAAGCTCTGGCAATGCTGTCCAACTGCCGTGGATGCCCCGCACCGCCTCGCACTTGAATCACGAGGCCCAAGCATACACCTTGCGTAGCTTGAAAGTGGCATCTTAGCGCCGCAGCGGGAGCAATAGTCCTGCTCAGCTTCTAAGAGGAACTCTTTGCGCCCTTTGGCTTTGTGATGGTTGTCAAACCCTGAAGCCTTCCCGCTCCCAGCGGCTAGAGCTGTTACTTTTCAGGGTTATGAGACCTACGCGCTACCAACTGCGCTATCGCCGCTTGGAATCGAGCCTGGGGCCTTTTGTGGGAACGTCATTGTTTTGCCCAACGGGAAAGAAGATTCCTAACGTTGTCGGGTTTGGAACTTTCCTGAACGTTGTCGGGTTCCTTCTTTGCGAACAGTGTCTAGAATAGAGGCCGTCCTGCCAGGGGTGCCTTCTATGGGGGGCCGGGCCCAGACTGTGCCTCTTGGACGCTCCTTGGCATCAACCGCGCCTTGGCTCCTCTTGGATGCGCCTTGGCTTGCTCCTTGGATTGCTTTGCGCTGGGCCGGGCAAGGGCGCCACCGCCTTACCTCAGTGCAACTGTACAGCCGGGACGACACAATCGAAAGCCTCTGGGTGCAGTCGCAGATCGCATTTGCACTGATAAGGGGGTGGCGCCCCACAAGACCCCAATCACGGGGCAACCAGCATGCAGTTTTCGAACCAGCATTCTTGGTGGGGGCGGGTCCGATGCCCACCAGCCATCAGAGCTGAACATGTTCGTTTAAGCAGGCCCAACCCTGCACTGTGGACCCAGAGGCTTGGGCTGTGCAAGAAGTCGCCTCCTCCAGCGACCCTGCTGTCTCTTCTGAGGCCAAGAACAGGGGCGGGCTCCATGCAGTTCTCCACCTTGGATGTATCGGCCCGGACCTCAGTAATTAGGGTTGGCGCTTGTTGGTACACATCGCTTGCATTGTCCGTTTCTTCAGCCCTTTGTTGCACAAGCCACCACCGCTCTCCGTGCCCGTTTCCCGGTCATGGCAGAATTGGAGGCATCCAGTGACACAGCAGGCGCACTGCGCGCATTGCTGGCCAACGCCCGAGTGCCGGACCTGCTCGCTGAGCATCCTGGGTCTCGGTTTTCAAGACATTGCCGATTTTGCATATGCATACTCTGATCTAGACCTGAACACACTACTCAATGAGGTGCCTGCAGAGATTTGGTCCGCGTTGGAAGTGGCAGACCACGCGCACTCCATTCCAGCCGCACGCATAGGAAAGCATTCGAAATCGCCAGGGCCGCCTCATCGCTGGAGACGCATGCCCACATGCCCAAAGCGTTGAGCCAGCCACCGCCCGACGCAGAGACGCATGCATCACCGGCCATTGCGTGGGCAGAACATTTGCCTCCTAAACTGACCCTGGAAGTGGTGCAGGACCTGGTAGACAAACTCCAAAAGAACTACCTAGGAGAGCTCCTGGGACCGGACAGCATGCCAAGCATCCGCCTGCTAAGCATGGTCTACGAGATGAACTTTAAGTGGATACCATGGCAATTACGGCTCTCAGCACGCCAATACCAGGAAGCCGTAGAGGCGCGCTCCCACAAAGCCACGCGCGCCGAGACGCAACTTCTGGCACACGCTTTCTTCGATGATACCCCTGAAATCAGCGTGGAGGGCAAGGCGCTCACCACTGGCTGGCTGCATCGCATTCAGTCGCAACGCGCTCGCCCTTTGCCAAGCAGTGCATCTGCTTAACGCCAAAGCACTAGACCAGCAAATCGCCAACATGTGCTTGCTTCAGCCGGACCCGGCCCTCTCACTCCGCACAGTTACAACTTCGGAGCTTCTGCATGATCGCCAAATTTGGGGCACCATCGTCGACCACTGCAACGCAAATGGTCCATGGACGATGCATTCCATGAGCTCACGCACGGCCGCATGGAAATACACTCCCTGCTCATGCTTCGCCCGAGAACAAGCAGACAGCCCCTAGCGGCGCCGCCCGCCAAGCAAGCGACCGACTAATCCAGCACGATCCGGCAAACGCCCAGCTCCCAGCCGCCGAAGGCGGAACCACCCAGAAAAAAGGGTAACGGGAAAGGAAAGGGGAAGACACGCGACAATTGGGCGGCAACGCATCAAGGCAAGCCAATCTGCCGCAGATTCCAACAGGGCCTCTGCAAAACAGACAACTGCCAGTTCGCGCATGTATGCGCCGTAAAAGGCTGCCAGCAAGCGCACGGGGCTTTGCAACATCCTTCCAACCGCACCTGAAACAGTCCGGAGGCCGCTCCGGCCGCTCCTCCGGACAGTGCAATCCCACAGCCGGTAGCACTCGGCGCTGCCCACCCAAGTCGCACCGCAAGCCCGCCTGCAACGCATGCTTTATCGCCCGCGAACAAGGCGCTCCAGCCCTCACTGTCTGCGCCAACGCACCGTCCTGCAGCCAGGGATAGGACAGGCAACTCCGATGGCCCAGCCAACATTGCACGCACAGCTGAGGAGCGCATACTGCCCCACATCAAAGGAGGATTCCTCTTGGATGTTTTCGCAGGAATTCATGCACCCATTTCAGCAGCTGCCGACAAGCAAGGCCTCTCGCGTTTCGAGGCTTTTGACCTAGAGGCCAATTCAGAGCACGACATACTCGACGACGCATGCTTTGAACTGCTTATGCGCATCTCTTGATTACACTAGCTCCGCCGTGCAGTAGACTGAAACTCCGCCCCGGAGGACCGAAGGCCTTACGCACTCCAACCTGCATGCACGGCGTGCCTGGCTTGTCCCCCGAAGAAGCATCGCGCGTTGCACAAAGCAGGGAAATCCGCAGGAGGAGCAGAGAACTCTTCAAAGCAGTTGCCGCGCAAGGAGGCGTGGCAGTCTTTGAGCAACCGCCCACGAGCATGGCAGGAATGGACAGGCTACAGCATCTTCAAGAAGAATAAGATGCCAGATGAGAATGAGAGGGTCTTGAGCTGGGAGGAGCGCTGAAGAGCGCGAATCTATAGGTTCGGCAGATTGCCGAAGGCGGGGGTGCACGAGTCACTTTTTTGCGATTGAACATGAGGTGAGGGCTGCGAATACTGCAGAGCTCAAACACAAATAATTGTTATAAACAGGTTAAGCAAACTAACACTCACCACTTGCAGGGTTTCCGACCGATTTTGAGGAAACACACACTTGAGCCAACATCAAAATCCAATGTGGGCAATTGAAGGTTCATAACGGAACAGTCCTGCTTTTTCGCTTGGTTGCCATGGTTTTTGGATATCGGGTTTCGGTACTTACTGGGCACTCTTCCCCGTCTAATCCGGAGTCCAACAAGAATCCTGGTACTCTTGTACTGGTGGGAAATTGCCACCCTGAAGCCAGTTGCTTTGCTTGACCCTGGCGCAAGTGAAAGTGTGTGAAACCAGGACTCCTCCAAAGAATTGATGTCATTTCCATGGGTCCCAACCAAACACGCGCTTGTGAGGGTGAATGCATGTGCAATCATATCAAGCATTTTGGCTCAAACCTTCCTTCCATAAGACGACACCGAAACATTCACAGCTTGTTCAATGTGGGCCTTTCTGCAACTTCCTGCCCTGGTGACTCTTCTCGAAGTGACCAGGACGGTTTCCGTTTCGGACAACGGCTGTGTCCAAGCTGGCCCGGAGAGCCCTGAAGACCAGGACTTCTTCTTGCAGCTTGCTCTTCATTTAGATGCGCCCAGCACCGAGGAGGTGCAGCACTTGGTGTCACTTTTACTCGTGGCACGAAAGGAGTGTCCCAAGGCCACAGAAGCCTGTCTTCCTGCTCTCTCAGAGCTTCGTCTTGCTGTGTGGCCGCATGTGCAAGCCGAGACGAACTCTTCTTTCCTACCATGGATGCCGAGCGGGCATCTAGACAACGTGGCTGATGAGGACACGCAGGGTGGTGGTGTATCAAGCACGAGGTCCATGTTCTATCGCCACGTGTTCAAGGCTGCTGGTATAAATACGTGGGCAAATTTGCACCAAGTTACAAGGGACTTTTATCGAGCACCCTATGCTGCCACATGCAAGCACTTTCATCTCGTTGATGCTACCCGACGCACAGCTTTCGCTTTCGTCAGAGATCCAATATCCCGCTTCATTTCCGGTTACTCAGAGCTTGAATATCGATCTCGTGCTGCGATCGGCTGGCCCAAGTTGGAAAACTTGTCCCAGGCGCTACAAGGGCATCCAGTAGGCAGCCCCGAGCGAGCCGCAGCTTTCTTTATCGAGTTCTTGCAAAGTGGAATTGAGAACAATGGTCACGTGCGACCGCAGATCGAATTCTTTCTTCCAGTTGGTGGCTGTTCAATCCCAATGGACTTTATTGGCAGAACCGAGCATTTGCCAGACGATTGGGTCAAGATGTTTGCATTGCAAAACGAAACTGTTCCACCCTTTGACAATGCGCTGGCCACGCACTACCACGATGATCGTGACAAAAAGGGTATGGAGAGCTTTCTGGGTGTGGCAAGGGCAGACTCCACGGACGCAAGCGCGCCTCATACTGGAAGCAGATATTTGCGAGCGCTTTGCTGGCTTTTCTTAGCAGACTTCGCAGTTTTTCAGTATGAAATTCCGAATGAGTGTCAGCAGGAGCCGATGAAGAGTGTATTGGCACTTGTGCGCAAGGCCTCGAAGGCTTCATGATGCACGACGATCGGTGAAAAGTGAGAGAGAAAATGCGTGTATGACGCACTCCTGAAGCCAAGAAGTGTTAGCTGTGCTGCTCACAGTTTTGCCCGCCTTTTGCTCAGTTGGTTTTTGGCCCCAATGTGCTGTTGTCCTTTGCTGCAGATCTGATATTCGACGTTTGAACATGGTATGCTACCATCTGGAAGGGGTTCCTGGTTCTCGCCCTATCATCTCTTTTCCATCCTACTTAAATGAGAAATGAACAGAATCAGACAAGAACAAAGCAGCGCACCCGACGCAATTTATATGATTCCACGAAGGGGCAAAGGGTGGGGGGGGGGGGGGGTGGGCAAGCCCAAAGCCCAAGTTGCCGCAATGGTGCGCAACCCCCAATCTAAGAGAATCAAGTGGACCTGAGTGGCCCATGATTACCCCAACTGCAGCATTTGGCTTTAGCTGTTTCAGACACTGTGCATTGGTTTTAGCAGCTTCATTTTGAAGTGCCCTACTGAACCTGCAGAAAGCAACAGCAGCCAGCAAACCAAGAACTGTAAGAAGCGTCACCGGTATCTTCGCGTGGCTGAGTCTGGAAGCGCGGAGGCTCTTGTGAGTTCTTGCCATGGATCGGATCACAGCGCCGACAGCGACAACTAGGTTGACATCTCCACCAAGTTCGCCTGCGTCGGGATGCACGGGTTCCGCCAGATTGCTTTGAAGGGTGGTGAAAGTTGGACGGCCAAGCACGTTGGCTGGACGTAGTTGGGAGGGGACAGCTTTGCTTTCGGCAAAACAGCGTTGGCTGCTCCTTCAGAGCTGAGCGTGTCGAATAGAGTGAGTGTCCCGCAAAGCCAGAGCAAAATGTTGAGGTATGTTCTTGAGTTCCTGGAATCTCGGGGTAGTACAACTCTTTTGGCAATAATTAGGATGCCCGCAACAGCAACAACAACAGCAACAGCAACAAGAGCAGCAGCAGCAACAGCAGCAGCAACAGCAGCAACAGCAACAAGAGCAGCAGCAGCAACAGCAACAGCAGCAACAGCAACAAGAGCAGCAGCAGCAACAGCAGCAAAAGCAACAAGAGCAGCAGCAGCAAGAGCATCAGCAGCAACAGCAGCAACAGCAACAAGAGCAGCAGCAGCAACAGCATCAGCAGCAACAGCAACAAGAGCAGCAACAGCAGCAGCAGCAACAGCAGCAGCAGCAACAAGAGCAGCAGCAGCAGCAGCAGCAGCAGCAGCAGCAGCAGCAGCAGCAGCAGCAGCAGCAGCAGCAGCAGCAGCAACAAGAGCAGCAGCAGCAGCAACAGCAGCAAAAGCAGCAGCAGCAGCAGCAGCAGCAGCAGCAGCAGCAGCAGCAGCAGCAGCAGCAGCAGCAGCAGCAGCAGCAGCAGCAGCAGCAGCAGCAGCAGCAGCAGCAGCAGCAGCAGCAGCAGCAGCAGCAGCAGCAGCAGCAGCAGCAGCAGCAGCAGCAGCAGCAGCAGCAGCAGCAGCAGCAGCAGCAGCAGCAGCAGCAGCAGCAGCAGCAGCAGCAGCAGCAGCAGCAGCAGCAGCAGCAGCAGCAGCAGCAGCAGCAGCAGCAGCAGCAGCAGCAGCAGCAGCAGCAGCAGCAGCAGCAGCAGCAGCAGCAGCAGCAGCAGCAGCAGCAGCAGCAGCAGCAGCAAGCAGCAGCAGCAGCAGCAGCAGCAGCAGCAGCAGCAGCAGCAGCAGCAGCAGCAGCAGCAGCAGCAGCAGCAGCAGCAGCAGCAGCAGCAGCAGCAGCAGCAGCAGCAGCAGCAGCAGCAGCAGCAGCAGCAGCAGCAGCAGCAGCAGCAGCAGCAGCAGCAGCAGCAGCAGCAGCAGCAGCAGCAGCAGCAGCAGCAAGCAGCAGCAGCAGCAGCAGCAGCAGCAGCAGCAGCAGCAGCAGCAGCACAGCAGCAGCAGCAGCAGCAGCAGCAGCAGCAGCAGCAGCAGCAGCAGCAGCAGCAGCAGCAGCAGCAGCAGCAGCAGCAGCAGCAGCAGCAGCAACCACAACCAGAGCGACGACAACGACAACAGCCACATTCCAATCGCCGGCCTTCACCACTAGCTTCCTGTGGCCAGACATATCACGAGAGCAGCTTCTTGCGCTTTCCAAGCTGAGGTCATGGCTGAGGACGAACACCGGGCCCATGTTCCCCACGGACCGCGAAGCCGCCATCCGTGGCGATAGGCCCGGAGATCCTCAAGTTGGGAACTTGTCCAGCGATAGAAACGTTGGGAGCGTCAAGTTGGGGGTTCCTTGTCTCAAAATTCGTTCCTTGCTTCCTTTCCGTTCGTGTTTCGGACACGTCCTTTCAAACAAGGATTTTCTGGAATGGTAGGCTCGCATAATTCTTTGCCGGGTTCGTGATCGCTTGAACTGGAGTTGCCGACAGACGCGACAGCCTGTGGACTGCATGAATGAGAAATGGCTCCTGAGAACATGTGCCGTTACCACGCACCAGGTTGGCTGAATTCTAACCATTCCAAACGGGGTTTCTACGGTCCAATTTCAGTTTACGATGACCTGCATTCTGCTAAATACCAGGCTTCTTTTGGAGGGACAACAATTGCAAAAGCATCCACATGCTTAATGGAAAGCAACAACACAAGCCGAGCACTCTTTACCAGGTGTATGAGGAAGCATCAAGATTGGACTGAATCCACCTGTGGCAATTGGATTACAAGGAGCAAGGCTTTGCTGCCACCAGGCGATATGGGCCGATCTGGGGACTCTTCGAAATCGCTTTGGGATATCTTGCATCATCCAACAGCCCCTGATTTTGCCATTCCAACATGGGCACGTCCCTTGGTGTTCAAAGAAACACCGAAAGGAAGCCACATTTTCGAGTTCTTTAAAGCTAAAGGGGTTCTGACTTCAAATAGCGAGGGGAAAGTGATTTGCGAGGTTGACGGCTGGGTGCTGGGGGGCATGCAGTTTGGGGTGCCGATGCAGGTGCTGTTGAGGTGCTTCTACAAAGGGGCAAGTTGGGCCAGGTTGGTGTTGCAGGCGCTGGTCATGGTGCTGTTGTCAAGGTGCTGCGCTGGCTGCTGGCAGTGCCTGTTTTGCGATGCAGTCAGGATGCTGGTCAGGGTGTTGAAATGTCCCATGCTATTTAGGGTCTATGCTGGTGTGCTTGTTGGGAAAGACCTGTACAGGCCTGTATGCCCCTTTTTGCAGAACTAGGAACCCTGGTTGGTTTCCTTTGAGGTTCCTTCTATTCGCTCTGGTCAGGCCACGCTACGAATGGGCGGCGGCCTGAGGGGCGGACACATGCCTGGAGACTGGGTGGGCACCTTTTTTGACATGCAAGAACGACGGTTGCTCAAACACGCCTTGATTGTGTCCCACCCTAGCTTGGGAGACCCTGTTTCGTGCGTGATTCAGGGAGAAAGTAGGAAGGCAACCTTTGTCAGGGGTATGTCCCCAGATAGCGGGTCTAACTTCAAACAAAAAGCTGGGGGAGGTTCTGGTGCAGGTGCTGTTCTGGGGTGATGGCGCTTTTGCGAGATTGAAAGCAGGGTGCTAGGGGCATTCAGTTTGGGGTGCTGGTGCAGGTGTGTTGGGACTCTGTTTGGGGCTGATGGAGGTTCTGGTGATCGGGCGCATTCTGCAAGGTGGACGGGCGTGTGCTCTGGGGGTGCTTTGGGGGTGCTGTGAGCGGTGCTGGTGTGGAATGATCCGCCGGTTTTTCGCTACCTGGGGTCTATGCTGGTCTAATTTTTTGAGGAACCCCTTTATGTTGCAGCCTGATCTCTCTGGCCTTTGGATTTGCCGTCCGAAGGTCTATGACCCGCCGATCTTCAATACCCATGACAAGCTGAACGGGGTGCTGAAAACTCAGCTGGTGCGCCCGGGGCGGCGCTTCGATGCGAAGCGCTTCGCAGGGCGCCTTGCATGTTTCCCGTAGCCCATATCAACAGCTAAGAACAAGAGGATGGGCCTTGCATTAAATGGCTGTGGGTCAAGAATATGTACCCAAAATGGAACCCTGGTAAATGGAAACATGGACTAAAACCTGCGGTCGCCTGGTGGTTTAATTTTGACCCATACCCAAATAGGCATTTGGCCCCGGAATTCGTCAATGCCAACTCTTGTGCAAGAGATCTCCGGGAACGTCGGCGCTGTGGACCCTAGTTTCACATTTGCTTGCCATGCACTGAACAGGTGCACTTGGATGGCAGTGGCGTTCAAATGGGGACCAGAGCTGGGAATTGCACCAAGCCAATGCAGTGCTTTGTTTACAGCGGGAAGTCTCAGGAAAAGCGTCAGAGTAGCCGGGCAACCAGGTTTTTGCATTGTCAAACAAAGGGTTTCTGCACTTTGAGCAGTTCCATGGGAGGTTGAGCGTTGGAAAGTCTGCCTGTAGCAAATGTAGCCTTGATGTTTCAAGCCACGTTCCGTTAAAAAAGTCATGAACAAAATCTTTGTGCAAGAGTCCTCTTGCCAATCAACATGACTCCCTTGCCAGTGGGAGGTGGTAGAAAATCAAGCACCAAGGTCATGACATTTTTCTTCCAAGTTCTCGCTTCGGGTTTCCAGCGGCTTGCAGGATGCATGGCACTGCCCGAAGACCAGCGGGACTCAGCACGTGTTGCATGCCAGCAGCCACATCGTGGACACTGTGACCAGGCGTGGGACTTTTGCTTGGGGGGGGGGGGGAATCCGATGTAAGTGTCTACGTTTTGTGAGTTGCCTACCCTTTTGCATTTTGGTTTTGAGGGACACCAGGCAGAACCAGACGAACCCTTGGAATCGCAGAAGGTTAGTTTTGCCGTACGATGTACGCGTTTCTATTTGCTTGGTTCGAAGGTAGCTTGGATCGGATGGAGAACGTTGATACCTCTTTCATAGCTAGACAAGGCTTGTGGAAGAAAGGAAAGATGAATCGAGCTATGTTTGATGAAAAAGTTACAACAGCAAACTGCCAGCTGAGCAGCTGCTGCACGCTTGGTGATTCGCAAAGGAAGGATAAAAGCTATGAGTAACCAAATCTTTTGCGGCTTTTCCACTGCTTGAAGCTACTTGAATCAATCGCCTCAGAACCAAGCTAGCTTTGATGCACGGCTGCCGATCTGGGTTGGTTTCCATTTTGTGTTTTGTCAGACAAGCCACACGTGCCTATACATGGGTGTATATGTATATATATATATATAAATGTATACATATGCATATATCCTCACCCCGCCCAGGGCTTACCTATTTCATCATGCTGTTGCTGCTGTCATTCGCATACTTGTGTGATCTGTGTGGACCACATAAATTACCGAAAATACCCGTGCTTTGAGCTTTTTTGCTTACACGACTCTGCTGACCAATCCTCGACAAATGAGCTACACACACACACACAAAAAACAACAACACCGGAATCTGCTTTTGGTGTAAGTTGTGCAGCATGAAAAAGCATGGCCCTGCCAGTCCTTTTCGTTTTTTAGCAAGCACACATTGACATACGTTGACAGTGACAAGGGCTATGAGGAGATGTGTATGGGAACAGATTGGTAAAGTAAAAAACAAACAAACAAACAACTAAACAACTAAAAAACTAAAATAAAAACAAAAATACGCGAAATCCAAGAGATCCAGGGTGCCCCGGCATTCAGTTCACACTCTTCAAAAGACAGCGGCTTCCAATTTGGAGAGCGATGAATACTTGTTGGGCAGACAGGTGCTGTTCACATGTTTCTCACACCCCTTCTGAAAGCCGATTCCTCTCTTCAGGGTTCGCTTTGCGAGGCCCCAGCTCCTATGGAAAAAGGTGGCGGCCAGCCCCACCTGCATTCCCCAAGCCGATGCTTGTTTGGCTCTTAGGCAGCGGATCGCGCGCTTTTACAACGACTCCTTCCTTCGGCCAGGGACTAAGAGGGATCAACGTGGCTCTTGGCCCTGCTCCAACCGGCTTGCGTCTTCTTCAGTTCTGATTTGGTCTCTCAGCCGAGGAATGATCGCCGGAACAGCGCGGTTTGCCTTTGATTCAAAACCTCGGGGCGCTTGGTGATGGCCATCTTTTCTTTCAATGCCCAAAATCAACCAAGCGACATGGCCCGAGAGATGCCCTGGGCCCCGCGGAAGCCTAAGGCAGACGGGCAAATTGGTGAGCACCCACGACCCCCTGGCGAACAAGCCGCTAGGCCCGGGCTTTTGTTGCTCTTTGAAGCAAGAATAGTTGGTAGACAAAAGTTGTTTGAACCTATCGTCAGTTTCTTGTCCCGGTAGGTGCCAGCAGAGCTGGGAAGCATGACATGAGTATTGGGGTCTGCTGTTTTGAGTGAACGCCAATCTCGTGAAAGGCTTCGAGATCAAAATCTACCTAAATGCCTCATGTCATTTTTTGAAATTTATCTTTTTGAGACCGAGACCATCAGGACAAGTGAGGATCACAGCCTTTTGGTCCCTTTTTACACGCAGTGAACATGAAACTGCCGATTCAAAATTCCAAGCACCAACCAGACAAGTTGTTTTGTTCTTGTGTCAACTCAGCCACGGACAAAGGCGAGACTCAAATTACTTGCAGCATGCGAGCAGGAAACGGCACCTGCAACACGAGCAGCATGTTTGGCCTTTGCCAAAACATGTCTTGGAGAAGTGCTAGTCGTGCTCGGCGCCGGCCTCGCATCGCGCCGCGCTCGATGCGCGACCAAACATCGCCGCAGGCGGCGGCGTCACCATTTGCCATGATGGTACGCTACGACCTGGACAGAGGCCTTCGACGTCCCTGCAGTGGACAGTCGTGTTTCTGCCGAAAGCGGGTGGTCTATGGGCTCGTCTGAACATGAGAAGTCAGAAGTGTGTTCCTGGCTTCAGACCATTTGCAGGCGTGACCTATTCGATGGGTAACGGCTCTAGCCTTCATCAAGCCCTCTGCTTGTTGGAGCCCGGCTGCGATGGCGAGAGGAATTGTCAAATTAAATTGATGTTTGCTTTCTGTTATTCTGCCAACAATTGCTCTTATCATTGACAGCGTGTAGGTTGGAGCCACGGAGTTGCTAGTTCAAGCGAGCGCTTTTGGATGACTTGTCCATCACGTTGCGGAGAACGCCGTGCCTGGAACGGAGAAACCCCCTCTAACAAGATCTTGGACTTCATTACAGCACACGTAACACAAAGACACACACACACACACACGCATACACAACAAGAGAAAAGCTTTTCACCCATCAGCAAGTTTTTTCAACGATTTGTTGCCCTTCCACGTGGTGTATCTCGCCGTCTTTGACTTGCGCATAGGGAGAACATTTTGACCACGCACAACCATTTCTAGCATGGTAGAGATGTTTACAGCATGCAAACATATCTTTTCTATGACTCTGTCCTCCGACACAGACACACCCACACACCCACCCACCCACCCACCCACCCACCCACCCACCCACCCACCCACCCACCCACCCACCCACCCACCCACCCACCCACCCACCCACCACCCACCCACCCACACACCCCACACACAGACACACCACACACCACACACCACACACCACACACCACACGCCACACACCACACGCCACACACCACACACCA